ATAGTATATATATATATATACATATATATATATATATTAATGTTTATATAAGGTGTGGTCATGTTGTGTTGAATATTTTATTGATGATTGTGTAAAGATAATCTTAAGTTGAACATGGCTATTGGTAATGATTTTCATATAAATTGAAACGTTCCTCAAACTAACATGTTAGGATTACTGAAGAAAGCAAATCAATACAATGTGCTCGATCATCCAGCGCAAGCAATTGATAATTCGAGAAGCAACAAATACGTAGTGGACGCTCACGCATCGCTATTTAGTTTCTGTTTAGAAAAAAAAAGAACTTATATGATAAAGACACTTACGATATTGGCATAAGCATACGTATTTGTCGGAGATTTCACGGAAGGAAAAGCACTGGAGAGATACATCAACACATCCCATGCCACCCACTTACGTATTCGATATGACCCGAAGCTGCCTCCATAGTCCGATTAACCAACCGAAGAGAGGTGGGTGTTCTTGCACGTAACGCACGCGCGCGCCACCAAACCTGTATTTGTCGTACCTAAGGTAGTATGGTGCGGATAATCGAAGAGATAAGATAGGAATGCATCGCTTAGTTGGCAACGGATTGCCTGTAACTTGATGTAGAAAGTATGGTTGAGTGGGGCGGCAACATGGAGGTGTACTTCCACTCGAACTTCGTAGACTGCATTAAGTAAGAATGACGATATATGACACATGTGCGCGAGCAGAATGTGCCCACTCGTAGGCTGAATTGAATTCAACAGAGCATAATGACTATAATGAGACAATCTGATTCGCCGTTACATCCAAAGAGAACATAACGGCGGTAATGGAACAATCTGATTCGCCGAGCCATCCATACCATGTAGTATCCACAGTGCGGTCGTTCCCGCAAATCTATAAAATATCGCTCTTCCGTCATCTGACCCACATATATACACACATAACAACATCACACGCGAAAACATCAACTACTTACCATAACCACCTTCATATCCACGCGCTTTTCGTGGTAGGATGCCGCGTTGTCGATGTTAACGGCAATGGCTGTACTGAACACTCCGATTGGCAGAGAGTACATAGCCAGGCAGAAGTAAGCGGTGATGCTCACCCAGAGGTAACCCCATCCCGTCGTGGGTGTGATATCTCCGTAACCTGAGCAAACAGGGTACAGCGATGTAAGGATGTGGCAATGGAAGTGAATAAATGCAAAAAGAGGCTATTTGGGAGTAGGAAGTTACAGGCGTTGCACCTGTTTGAATCCAATATATGTACATACACATATACATTTACACACACGTATATATATACTCTATATACTTTCTATATGTATATACATACATATATACATATATACATATATACATATATATATATATATATATATATATATATATATATATATACTACACACACACACACACANATATATATATATATATATATATATATATATATATATATATATATATATATATATATATATATATA